GGGGGGGGGGGGGGGGGGGGAACAAGGTGCATTATGGTCTATGTGAAAATAGTGAAAAAACGCAGTGGTGAAGAAACATAGCAACCTGCCAAAATAGCCGACTCTCATCGCTCCTCGTAGCTGTCACGTTTCTTACATGCGATGAGGCATTTTTTTTCAATGGGGAGATTGAGTACTAAGGTCAGATGACGTTAACAAGTATGAAGTGATTGCAGGTTAGGACGTTTCGAGAGAGAGACTCTGTGGCGAAGAGAAATCATGAGAACTGCCTGTAGAAACAGGAAAATGACAGAAAACAAGATCCTTGCCGTGAATTAAAAAAAAAAGAGATCAAAACAAAATGAAACAACTATGAAAAAAGGTACTTTTTCCCTTCCCCTCACCTGCCGGAAATAAAATCTTGGAAAAAGATCACTTTGCTATGCAAACAAGGCTAACCCTTCGGAGGCTATTATTTGTTAAAATAACTGAAGAACTGTTCATTTTTTTTTTTTTTTATTGTCAATGAATCAATACAGTAAAAGAATTCTACAAAGATGTGTGGTGTTTATGGCTTATGTGGACTCCGTAAATGAAATAAATATTACATATATCTTAAAAATTTAAAATCGTATCAGAAATGTCTTGAATTATTACGAACCTTAGATTCCAAAAATATGAAAACAATACTGCAGGGAAAGAAAATAATTTAATGTTATCTTACATTGAACAAAATTGATATAAATGTTACTAGAATTCAGTGTTTAGAATTTTTATCCCCCAAACACAAACAACTAATCATAAATTCCTGTAATAAAATGCTTTTTGGCCCTGATGAGGGAAGAGTTGACAGGTGGAAGCGATTGTGTGATGTTTGCATACATATGGAGTGAACGAGGGAAAACTCTGGAGAGTAGATAGTGAGGATGACTTTGCAGTGTGTTATAATATGTGATCAACAGATAAGACGTTTACGTTTCACTTATGTAGACTTGAGTTTTACACAATAAACAATGTTAAAAACTCGCGATTTGTATCGCGTCTCGTCCACTATGGTTCCATTCAGTACCAAGACAGGCTTATTGAAACACACGGTCCCGATGGCAACTGTGACAATGATCCCGCGTTGTTCAAGTTACTAAGTTAGTTGTTAGATTATTATAGGAAGTATTCGCAGTAAGTGTGTCATTTCCAAATGAAGAGGTCACGTGCGACGAAGGTAACGGAATTAGGAACCGTACGGCTACAGCACCGCCTAAAATCATCAGAGATATTACGAGAGGGATAAGTCGCTTTACAATAAGAGTTCTCTTTTGTGATGAAGTAAGATTATGACTTCTTTTTATATCAGCGGTTGCTTCAGATTTAATCTCTTCTTGATGACTATCTCTCTCTGAAGTGCTCCCATCATTTGAAAGTAAAGCAAGTCTAAACTGAGAGTTATCAGCATCGACGTGATTAAGAAACAGTAAAGACGACGTCTTGTGGATCCAGCTTGCAAGATTTAGGTCTGAAATAAATCGACACATAATTTTACAAACATTTTGTATTAAGCTGAAGGTTCGGGCTTGGAGGATAAAACTCAACTACAAAAATAATCATGAGGCAGCAGAAATGTTTTGTTAACTACTTACCGCAAAAAAAAATCACGAAAAAATCATTCCTTTTAGCAAAATACGGTTTTTACTAAGAAGTGTGATTAAGCAAAAGTTCTGCCAAAGAGGTCTCATTTGAATGGAAACATTTTCAGAGAGACATTTTTAGAGTCACGCAACTTAAAGCAACCTTAATTTGGTGCAAGACAGGTCTGAACGTAAGTGGTAAAACGCGTAACATCGCTCTGCAGCGATGTCGCAAAACACGTTGCACGTTTTTGTTGCCCGTTTTTAACATAACTTTATTTGGTCTTGTTATCAGAGGCATAAGAGGAATTCCTAATCAGTTTTATCCCCGGACCCTGTACAAATCATCGCACCTCTGTGTTTTTCGGCGGACTGTCCAGCGAAATGACCATTTAGTAAGTTTCCAGAGGTTAAATCTTTGACAGTCTTGGCTCCTGTTCTTCGCTGTGCCTGACAAATGAAAAACCATCATCGAACTAAGAAATGTTCCTATAAAATCCTAAGAGTCGGTACACACTACGCGACAAGAGTTGCAGCAACATGTCGCGGCGACTTTTTGCAGCGACAAATCGCTTCGTGTGTACTGGAGACCTTTTGTGAAAATCTCTGTAGCCGCAACAGAATTTTGTCGCCGCAACAAGTCGCACATTTTTTTTTTTTTTTGCGACTTGTTGCAGCGACAAAATTCTGCTGCAGAGACAAAGATTTTCACAAAAGGTCTCCAGCACACACGAAGCGATTTGTCGCAGCGACATATGGGTGCAACTAGTCGCCCGACCTGTACACACTGAGTGATCTGTCGCTAACTTGTCGTATAGTGTGTTTACATCATCCTCTTTCTCCTACTTGGCCCCCGGAGCGAGAGATGGGCCGGGTAGGAGAGGACCCTGGGAATGAGGTCGAAAACACACTCGAGTCAGTTTAATTAAAACCAATAGTAATTGTCCAGAAAAATTTTAAATAACTATCATTTTACAAGTCCCTATATGTCTTTTGGCTTTTGGTGACCAGGTTGGAAATAGATTGTAACTACTTCAAGTTCGGTGTCGTGACAACTGCCACGGCGAACAGAATCTCTACTTAAAAGAAACCATATGCCCCCTTTCCATGGTGGTCCGCTTCAGTGATACCAAACTGGTTATAAAACGATACGCATTTTTTCGGTTTTGCAGACGAGCGAAGGCAAGTGAGCGGCGGGCGTGGAGCACAAAACACACACTAGCTACGTACGGTAGGAAGCCGCGCACGAAAATCAGAGATTCACTTACTAGCTCGGCTTGTTTGTCCCAATCTGTTCTCCAAAGAAGAAATAAATACGAAGCAGACTAAAATGAAACAGAAAAAAAGAGAAATAAACTTTTACTGTATCTGAGGTTAGGTACAAGTAAAAAAGAGGAAAAAGAAAGACAAGAGGACAAAAGAAAAGAGATTAAAAGGTGCCTCGACACAGTTTTAAATTGACAACACCTACTCTCTTTGTACACGAAATGCAAAGATGCCTCAAACAAAAAAAACTCGAACGGCGCATCCATGGCAATACAGTGGCCTCATTGTGATTTTATAGAGCGTATTCACATGTCGTCACGGCGGCCATATTGGTGTTCCAAACAAATCCTGTNGACTTGTTGCAGCGACAAAATTCTGCTGCAGAGACAAAGATTTTCACAAAAGGTCTCCAGCACACACGAAGCGATTTGTCGCAGCGACATATGGGTGCAACTAGTCGCCCGACCTGTACACACTGAGTGATCTGTCGCTAACTTGTCGTATAGTGTGTTTACATCATCCTCTTTCTCCTACTTGGCCCCCGGAGCGAGAGATGGGCCGGGTAGGAGAGGACCCTGGGAATGAGGTCGAAAACACACTCGAGTCAGTTTAATTAAAACCAATAGTAATTGTCCAGAAAAATTTTAAATAACTATCATTTTACAAGTCCCTATATGTCTTTTGGCTTTTGGTGACCAGGTTGGAAATAGATTGTAACTACTTCAAGTTCGGTGTCGTGACAACTGCCACGGCGAACAGAATCTCTACTTAAAAGAAACCATATGCCCCCTTTCCATGGTGGTCCGCTTCAGTGATACCAAACTGGTTATAAAACGATACGCATTTTTTCGGTTTTGCAGACGAGCGAAGGCAAGTGAGCGGCGGGCGTGGAGCACAAAACACACACTAGCTACGTACGGTAGGAAGCCGCGCACGAAAATCAGAGATTCACTTACTAGCTCGGCTTGTTTGTCCCAATCTGTTCTCCAAAGAAGAAATAAATACGAAGCAGACTAAAATGAAACAGAAAAAAAGAGAAATAAACTTTTACTGTATCTGAGGTTAGGTACAAGTAAAAAAGAGGAAAAAGAAAGACAAGAGGACAAAAGAAAAGAGATTAAAAGGTGCCTCGACACAGTTTTAAATTGACAACACCTACTCTCTTTGTACACGAAATGCAAAGATGCCTCAAACAAAAAAAACTCGAACGGCGCATCCATGGCAATACAGTGGCCTCATTGTGATTTTATAGAGCGTATTCACATGTCGTCACGGCGGCCATATTGGTGTTCCAAACAAATCCTGTGGGAGTTGGACTCTTTTCTTATATAAAAAAATTCTCTTGTTCCCATAAAAATGGCAGAGATGCTGTTCACGTGAGTGTAAAAGCTCTATCATAATAATAATAATAATAATAATAATAATAATAATAATAATAATAATAATAATAATAATAATAATAATAATAATAATAATAGTAATAATAATTTAAAATACTCATGTTGCGCTATTTACATGAAAATGATCAATAGCACTTTACAATAACTCACTTACTTAAAAATCTTATCCAAAAGGGGATAAAAATGTGATGTAAAATACAATTTAACAAAAATTGGTTAATTAATTAATAAAAAAATAAAAACTAAGAATAAAAATAGCCTAACGTGCCCGAAAAAGGTGGGTCTCAGGTTTGAGAAATCTTGAAGCTGCTTGTAGGGTTTTAGTCTTCAGTTAGCGACCAATCTTAAACAATTTTTTGGAGAGCGTTTTCGAGAATCTCTGTTTGAAATTTTTGGCTGTTACAACGAAACAAATCACCCGATATTCAAAAACGAAAACGTACTTTTAGAGTTATATTCCACATGCATTACTCTCACAATTTATCTTGCTGTTTACATCCGAACTGCTGCATCAAAAACGTTGCAACAATAGACAAAAATACCTCTAACCTATACCTCTCACGATATCACCTACAATAAGAACTTGTTCGCAGGATACTATAGGGTA